TCTCCTACTTTCTCCCTCTCACTTACCCTTTTCCTTCCCTCATTTTATATCCATCCTTCATTCATCATTCTCTTTCCCTCATTTATCCAATCCTCCCATCAGTTACTTTCCTTCTCCTTTAATTACCTTTTTCTTCTTCCTTGCTATATTATCCTCCCCCTCCCTCAGTTCACCCCTCCTTCCCTTCCTAACAAACAAAACCTATTTCCAGGAACTGTGGTATGATTTACATGACATTGTACACATGTCACAGACCTAAATCAGGTCAAATGTTGACACACAATGAAAACCTGAGATTCCACCTGATTCTGTTATATGATGATGAGAGGTGTATCATGTGATAGTCAATACTGTCTCCCTCACCACCCGGCAGTGTATTCCACCCCCCTATCACCAGATGTAGTCTGTTACACTGTATATATAAACCATCTCCTCACCAACAGGTGTCGGGCCTATAGGACATAGATTACCTGATCGCCATCAATACCTACAGCTGGTGAGTAAGACTTTTAGTTTTAAAACAGGATACATTTCTTGTTATTGATTTCCGTGTTTGGTAATAAATAAAAAGACAAACAAGTTTTCCTCTCAAATAGGTTTCCTCATTAAGATGTGGTTGCCATATGTTTGTATACTATAAGTGCTGACAGATAAGTAAGAAAAGGCTGAATATTGAAATTATGGCTTAGAGTCTGTAATAACACAAAGACAAATATGCGATATCCTTATGGTATGAAAAAAAATCGTCATACGGTAAACCTTCGGTCAGTTCGAACAAAATTAAATAAATATTGATGAACCTGACCGGATTATACAAAATTATGCTTCAGAAAATAAGCGTGAGTTCGAACTATCGGCAAAAATTTCGGCAAAGTGCAAATCAAGTCACAAACATATCCCCGACATGTTTTCTTCACCGGAGTATACCTCTATATATCCAATGTAGGGTCGATACGTAACAACGACGGCCTGGCATAGAACAATGGCACATTTATAAATGGGTAAAATGATAGTATATTATTTAATTCAATGTTAATTGATCATTAAACTTTCTTCATTTCATGATAATTATGATCGTTATTGCGAAGCAGAGGCCCTTGTGTAGGCCCCGAAACAGTACACGTTTCATTTGTGACACAAAAGTTAAGAATATACCTAGCTTGTATCAGAGACCTAAATATTGAGTCTCTGCGTGGTTAGGTTTTGTTATTTCGTAATGAATGGTCCGTTTAATAAATTGAAAACATAGTCTACATGACCTGTTGCGTTTACAAAGCGCTACTGTACAGTAAATATAGGTCTATATGTTAGTAAAATTAGGTCAGAACATCAACATGTCTGCTTTAAATTATAAGTGATATAGTCCTAATACCTACCAAACTTATTTGACACCTTCAAAATTACCCATCGCTAATTGGGACACCTGTGGATTGTTTGGACTTTGACATGAATGCTAATCACGTCACTCACCATGGCTGGGCGGCCGATTCCTACCGCGACATCGTGTCCTGCCCTACCTGGTGTGAGGCACACGTTTACAGGTAATACCTTGATTGGCAATAATTAAGGGATGTCTGGTCGCAATAAAATAATCAAAATGCTTAGTTAACACTGTATTTGACAACACACGGGCGATTTCTTAGCGTACAGCCATACAGCGTGACATAAATTCGTACTGATCGCATGTTATTTATACATTGTCGGGGCCTAATATAAGTTGAAATTGGCTGTCTCGTGCACGATGTATTTTTCAAACAATGTAAAAAAAAATGAATCAACGCTAAAATCTGTGACATATATTTATGGTTTGTCGGTCACAGCTGTGCTGCAATGCTCACACAATTTGACTAAAGATATATATATATACTTAAGGACGATTTCAATTTGACTAAAGATATATATGTATACTTAAGGACGATTTCAATTTGACTTAAGATATATATATAATTAAGGAATAGTAAAAAAAAAATCGGAAATATCAAAACATGAAAGCTTATAACTCAATTAGTCTACCTACTGGTTAAATACATAATTTGCCTAGAGATCTATTCACTTTATTCGCAAACAAGAGGCCCAGGGGCCTTGATAGCTCACCTGGAATTTTATTTTGAATTTTTCAAGCTGTTGGAAAAAAATACATGTTTATCAAAAAGAGTACAAGATAGTCTTGAAGCTGTTAAATCAGACTATGCATGTTTGGGGTCTTTTTGGCAAATCTTATTTTTCTATACATTTTTTATCTTTGTGAATCTATGTTGGAAGACTTGAACATTTTTTCTTATCTGAACTAAGCTGGTTGTTATAGCCATTTAGTCACTTCTAACACATCATATTGATTTAAACTTTTAACGTACATCACAAAATTTCAGGAACTTCAGCCAGTCCCTTTTATTATTCAGAAGTCAATTAAATGTTTCAACAAATTTAAATATAATATTATATGACCTTGAAATTAACAATTTTAAAATATACTCTAAAATTGAGTCAAGGTCATTCAAGAGCATTTGAATATATTTTAGAACCCTTTATCCCAGCATGTTATTGGCTAAATATCATCACCAAAGATTTCCCTGATATTCAGAATTCCCTGATATTCAGAAATAGTCATGTATTTTAAAGGATTTTACACATTTGACCTGTGACCATGAAGGCTAGTCAATGTCATTCAATTTCACTTACATCCCATCCCCTCATTCTAGCATGTTAATTGCTTAATATCCCCACTCTAGGCCTCCTGTTCATTGCAACTTGAATATAAGTCAAGGTCATTCATCTCAACATTTTACCACCAAAATATCAACATCCTGGGTTTTTTGGTTATTCAGAAGAAGTTGTTTAAAGTATAACGTTGACGCCAGACAGATGGATGACAGAGATTAGATAAAAATCTAGTGAATTTTATCTGGAAAGGGTTTTCTGAGGGTATATACTGCGCTTTAAACTATCCAGTTACCAGGTATATAATTTTAAATACTGCTCATCGATACAGATATTCCTATCCAATCTCATTTAGCCACTAAAACGACAAATTATAATCAATATTGTTCTGGTGTTCAGCAAGGTAACATGTACATGTTAGTTATATAACCTTGAACATATTTTGCTGAGTAACTATCACAGCTTAGTGTACATAGAAGAGTTTTCTATTTGCAGGAATTTAGGAGATGTAGTTCAATTTTGACTAGTTTGACAACCTCTGGGATGAGATTCGATGGATCCTTATTTATGCTGGGAATGTTCTCTGACAACTGACTGTCTTAGAGAGATTATGGCTGCTTCCTCTTTGATTTCCTTCACGCCTGGTGAATCTGTTGCTGTAATGTGGCCCCAATTATGATGACAGACTGGATACAATTTAAGTTGAATTAGGAACTGAAAATACAAAAATAATATTGTGTAAAAATGGCATGGTTGAGGATAAGTTTGCATGATACAGGCATTCATATTGACCGTGAAATTCATAAAAATCATATCAAATAAAGAAGCAAATTTAACTTTTCTTGACAATTTCAATTAAATATATATCTCAAATGTAAAAAGATCATTTTGACCTTGCCATTGACTCATCACTTCATCTCATCACTAATTGAAACATTAATATTATCCGAAAGTGATGTTTATAGTTTTTTCATTAATTCCCTTAAATCACAATGTAAAAAATAAGACTTATCAAAATTAAGAGGGTTATTCTATGTAAGATTAAATTTGAACATGGAAGGGTCAATTTCATTTTTGAGGGGTCAATGCCCCATATGGCCCCCTCCACGATTATCCTGTGTACTAAATGTTTTACATGCAATTGTATCTTATCTCAATATCTATAATATAATATTTATGGTTATACACCAAAATTTATAACTCGAAATAAGGGTGAGGGAGAAGACGAATTGTATTAACCCATCCCTATCAAATAATTCCTAACTTGATTGTTATTTAGAGTGTCTAAAATAAGCAAATATTAACTTCTGTTTACAGAAATACATTTTATCACAGTCTGTAATCATGAAGAAATGTACATGTATGATGTACATGTAATGACATGTTTTGGTAAACATTTATGATCCAAGTCTGACAGGGAATTGTAATATCTCATGTACAGCATCACCATGATCCTTCTAGTATACTGAAGGCTGTATGTTCCCCTCTTCCACTTACACTAAGTGTAGAAATATATATTTATTCAATAGTACTCTGTTTCTTTGGTCTTCATTTTCAAACAATAAAGAATTATATGAAAGCTTGAGACACAATTAATTCTTGTATAACAAAGGTCAAATACGTCGTAGTACTGGAAGTGTGAATAGTGCATTGATTATGATAAAGCTTTTAAACCAAATAAATTAAAACCTATTTTTTTTGGGGGGGGNGTGAACACTTCGGGGAGCTTACGAGTAGTCAGGCGGTTAGCCACAATGCATTTCTTTTGCGACTTTGTCATCCAGCCTTTGGAACAGCAGGCTTTTTAATTGTTGACCATTTCTTGCTCCGAAAACAACTTCGTAATCCGAAATCCAGTTAAATTCGCCCAATATACTCTGTACTCTTCCTTTTCTCCATTTTGTTTTTATGTTTAGCGTCAACAACGTGGTTTCCCGCATTGAAGAGTTCATATAAATACCGTAAATACGCAATTCGGCGCGCGCATGTGCTTGACAACGAATAATTTTAGACTTAAGTTCAGTCTCAGCTAAGATTTTGCTTAGCACGTTTCATGATCAACTTAAGATTTTGGTCTTAGCTAAGTCAAAACTTCAAACTTAAGTTCAAATTTTGTCTTAGACTTAAGTCCGTTTCATGATCCCGGGCCCTGGACTCGAACCCTGAACTTCAGGTGATATGCTGTCGCTCTAAACAACCGACCTACATAGTCAACAGAAGTGCTCTGATCCATCTGCGCTACAATTGTATCCAAAATAAAAGCAAGGGGAGGTTAATGTTTATACGAAAAACCAACAGTGGAATTAACGAGTAATTTGCTGTCAGTGGGACAGGGATGCTAACGAGGGACACGTCTTTCCTTGCACGTCAATCACAACTCTGACAGTGATGTGTTGGTGTGTATTCTCTCACGATCGTTCTGTAGGCCAATGATGATGGATTAAACACTGCGTCAAAGGAAACGATCGCTATGTCACAAAGGAATTACTGGGGTAATGTGTACTTACTAAATCTCACTTAAAGTATGTAATATATGGATATAAACTGTTGAAGCACCCTGGTTATGTCAAGCTGATGATGAATATATATAATATGTTTTAATATCGTCTTTAAGAACTTAATCTGGCACAGTAAATATTCCTGATCCTGGCATCACTTAAAGAACAATTACGATCGATCATTTTACTAGAGGGCCAACCTTGCTATTCTTAATAATAAATCATACTTTAATATTCATATACACGATGTATATTTTTATCTATTTTTTTATTTGTTATCAATGATCAATGAAGGCTATATGTATGGGAATCTATTTTCAGACATTGTTTCCATAAATATATATTTGAGTCATTTTAGCCAATCACCAGCCGGAATAGGAAATCCTCATGATTAAAAGTAGAAAAAACAAACTTATTTTAAAAGAACTTTCTATTATTGACGAGAGAAAAACTCTTAACAGAATATTGTCTTTTTCACCCGTCAAAATATAATCCTCAATACTTCTTGAGAAGCCAGACCGTTTAATTTATTTTCTTTATATTATCATCCAGAGATGTGTTTGCTAACCCAAGCTGTACAACTGATCGATTGAGATACTGTTACAAGTGCTTGCTATTCCGATTTACAATATCGTTTTTACGACAGTTGTAAGTAAAGTTTGAAAGTTATTAGTTATTTTGATTAACAAATAACTGTCCGACTAGGCTCCTTTATTACACATAAGCCATGATTCGCAACATATTGATTCTTTATAGAGCTCAGTGATTATTAAACCTGCTTATTTTAGCGCACGCAAATTTAGTGAATTATTAATGTGTTAACAGATACGTGAATTGCTGTATCGGAGCACCAATAATATCTGCGATAGTTAACATTACAGAGAAACTTCTATTGACATCTGTGATAATTAACATTACAGGGAAACTTCTATTGACATCTGCGATGGTTAACATTACAGGGAAACTTCTATTGACATCTGCGATAGTTAACATTACAGGGAAACTTCTATTGACATCTGCGATAGTTAATATTACAGAGAAACTTCCATTGACATCTGCGATAGTTAACATTACAGAGAAACTTCTATTGACACAATCGGAATTTACGGTTATATTTAAAGTAAGAAAAACGCTCACATAAGAATACCGCTACCGTTATATGTACTGTAACAGTGTTCTGTGTTTCACAATCTCGTTGTTTTCTGTACGAATGACCGACTTAGTTGTTGGTAGAGTCACAACAAGATAACCGGTTCTAACCAGCATGTTGTGACGGGCAGGGATGTATGTGCTGTCAGGACGGACTGTTACTCACAAGCAAGTTGGCTCAAAGCCAACGTCCAATCTCCTGTCATACAAAAGTGATAATCTCACTTCCGGGAGGAGGAGTCTTTAAAAGAATATGTTTCAGACATAAATGAAAACGGTGACTATTAAGGCGATACCTTCTGGAACAATGCTACTTTATCTTTTGACAGAGTCTCATAGAAATACATTTTTACTAAGAGAAAGAGTAGCAGTGTTGTAGATTCAAAAATTAGGACAGGAGAATTTTAACTCCAATGTGCCGTTTAATATCGATATTGCAGATACTTAACAAGCACATGCATTCAATACATAGCGTAGGTACTATATACTTGTCGAGAACACCTTCGCATTGGGTCCCCAACAAACAACAAAACAATAAGTAAAACATACCACCAACAGTTTCTAAGTCAGTGGAAGGCTATATATTATGGACCACTTGCTGCTGGCTCAATTGCTTAAGATGATTGGCCGATTCTTTTGCATTTTCTATCGAACAAATCTATCAAAATGTACCAGTGATAAGAAACATATTTAAGAAGAAAATAACTGAATTACCAGAATAATGTTCGAAATTGTGAAATACCAAAATGAAGTTCGAAACTGTAAAATACCAGAATGAAGTTTGAAACGTTTTTATCCTGAAGGCGATTCACTTTTTTTCAGAACACCAACCTAGCAATGTGAATATTTAACTACTCGATAATGAAGGCGGGAATAAAATGTGTATTCATTTTTGCTAAATTGCAACAGACTAAGAATTTCAATCTATTAAAATAGATATAGAATCTTAAACCCATGTAAAATAATTCTTTTTCAAATTCAAAAGGAAAAAAATCTAATGGAAAAGGGGGATATTAAACCTATTATTCTCCGCGTCGAATTTTTTAGACAACTTTTAATCCTTTCCTTACAGACTTCAAGGGCCATTACGGATGACAGTATGCCCTGCCGGAGCTATTCAGGACTTGGGAAGGGCCTTGGACGACTGTTGGAGGGATCCTGATAGTCTTGATAAAGGTATTCACTGCGTTCCTAATAACCTGATTCTTGCGAATATGCTGGCAAGGAATCAGGTTGTAGCAGGTAAGACAAGATAAGATAATAGGTTGAGTCGAGGAAGGTTACTTCTAGAGTTTCAATGTCAGACCTTTGTTTGTTATTGACTCTTAAATAACATTTTGTTGTTGCATAAAAGTGACATTTATTTTATTGCAGATGACAACAAATTATTTAATGATTTATTGTAATATAACTAATTTGAAAATTTGTCACGAAAACGACAACACATCTGATTCAATTTTAATGGCATTCTGTAATGCGCTGCATGTTTTGCATAAACATGGACTGAATACATGCATGTCTTTGTTTTTAAACCATTTACGTTCATTTGATCAACGTATATGTTGAACACTGAATATTGTAACGAGAATTTTATTACTCTTGACTTTTGAATTGATTACATTTCCATGATTTAACATCAAGAATTGTTTTGATCTAAGGGTTCAATGACAACTGACGGTTTTTTACGAAGTTATCTAACTCAACTTATGTCATTTTCATGTAAACAAAATAGAAAAGAAAATGAGCTTAATTAAGGTCATTAATTGATCAAACAAAGACTGCGTTGTTGAATTCTCTGTACCACATTTTATTACGTTACCAAGTGATTGATACCGCCGTTGCATAAACGACGAGCATTCTTTGTTTAAACATGAACAAAGCTTTATTAACAGCTTAATGAAAATACCACTTCTTACGTTAAATTAAACGTCTGTAAAATGATACACAAAAACTGTTTATCATAAAGTGTAAACGTGTCATAATGGATATTTAATATTTTATTCCAAAAACCAGCAGGTGGTCATCAATATTTCATAACTCGTTGTTTTTAAATTAAAATGGATCTTTTTAACATTAACTATGGTATACAATAAGTTTCATTCAAACAGAAGTCATGAAGCGTGATAGCACAAATTGGCGAACATATTTGAACTGAGCTGTGCTACATACCAAGATAAATGTCAAAATGATCTATTTTGATCTTTATAATGACGCTTAAAAAAAACGAACAAACAAAAGAAAACCAATTGCATTTTATCCACGATGGTTTCTTTCGCTTCATGATACTTTCAAATATTTATTTGTAAATAAATAATTGGACATTGTATTTTTACAGGAACACTTGTTGTTTTTATAGTGACATGTACGTACCTTACGGTTACCAGTTACATAAAACACGCCAATCAAATACTTTTTGGAAGTTTCGCCATAATGTGATTTTGATGCTACGTCATGATCGTACCCCATTACGAAGAAAAGTCACGAACAGTTTTCGATTGGAAAGTATTAATAACTAACATTAACATGTTATAGTTCTTAGTGTTATTTGTTATATTTTTCTGGTTGATTGGCACATGTAGACTTATGTAAGAGCTGTGCAACGAAAATGTAAACATTGGCTTCTAAAAACAATTATTATTTGGTTGGCTTTTGTAAAAATAAATTGTACAACGGAAATATATATATATACATATTTCATAGAATTATGTAAATATATAGATATATTTTCTTTCACTGAATTCTTCTAAAGTGACTTTTGCATTTGAAACGGAAAGGATTTGCCATGAATTAAGTTCTGAAAACATTCTCATATTCTAATATTTTCCATTTCAAGATATAGAAAAATATTACAAATGAAAAACCACCCGCTTCTTTTGTATGGACTTTGTTTTATTCATATAACCATTGTAGTACATAATACAAATAATATTGAACATAAATGAATTGGAGACAGAAACAAGTGTTAATACACTTATATAAATATGTTACCTTCCATTGTATCAACATTAACAACTATAGCTCAGGGATAGTGACGTGAATAGGGACAAATTACAGGGGAAGTTAGAGGAGAGGAAATGCAGTGTAAAATATGGTACATGGACAAAGTATGTTATAATTAGGAATTTGCTACATTGTGGTCAATAAAAATCCTTCTGTTGCGTCATCGTTTGTACACTTTAAAGCTGAACGTTGATTTACGAACTACAGATTTCAAGAAAGGTATATATATGTATATAAGTAAGATCGTACATAGACCATCTGCATTATAATGCTGCTATAAAATATGCTCTATAGTAATCATGTGGTAAGCCCGCTTCTTTTTAAAAACAATTCATTTTGCATCAGGTTATAACAACTAACTTGAGATTACTTTAAACATTTTGTTTAGAAATTCATTAACGTTTTTTTGTAAAAAGACGGATGCTGTTATTATATTGGCGGTCTAGATTATGTCATACAACATGTCGGTATTAATGAGGCTTATATATTGCACTTTGTCACCTTAAGCCAACACGCAGTATGCATATGTCGTATTAGCTCTCCTACAAAACATTACCGATACACCATTAGAGGAAATGAAGGGTTAAGTTTTACGTTATAACCCGCGAATCAGTACGCATTATTCACTTCAATGTGTTAATTTGTGGTAATTTAAATCGATTCAAAAGCGTGATTTCTTTTTTGATTTCCTAATATTGCTCATTGTAACAAAAGGAAACCTCACCATACACACTTCCTTTACGACGGGATATTATGTGAGCACTATCTATTCTATAAAGACACAATCTACTATGCAGGTCAGGTCTGCCAGCCATGAAACATGAACATATTACGATATATAGAATTCAATTCATAACAGGAAAATCACCAAATGTCATGACTAAACATATATTTATAGATAAATACAAATCAAATCGGAATCTGACGAACACTGATGGCTGACAAATTGACACGAATATGTAGACACTTAATTGAATGACTGACCCAGTTCATTTGGTGAAAGGATTCCTCAACAGGTAAATATTGTCACAGATAAACTGTCCCTTGGACAGGTAAATATTGTCACAGATAAACTGTCCCTTTTGACAGATAAATATTGTCACAGATAAACTGTCCCTTTTGACAGGTAAATATTGTCACAGTTATACTGTTCCTTTTGACAGGTAAATATTGTCACAGATAAACTGTTCCTTTTGACAGGTAAATATTGTCACAGTTAAACTGTCCCTTTTGACAGGTAAATATTGTCACAGATAAACTGTCCCTTTTGACAGGTAAATATTGTTAAACTGTCCCTTTTGACAGGTAAATATTGTCACAGTTATACTGTTCCTTTTGACAGGTAAATATTGTCACAGATAAATTGTCCCTTTTGACAGGTAAATATTATCACAGTTAAACTGTCCCTTTTGACAGGTAAATATTGTCACAGATAAACTGTCCCTTTTGACAGGTAAATATTGTCACTGTTAAACTGTCCCTTTTGTGGTTGAGTGTTACTTATATATATTTACATTTGCATGGCATTATCACTATATAGCCTCTTTGAAATCTGTGTCGTTGATGGAACTTTAATTACCATGCAGCACGAGACGTAATTCTTAGCGTATTAATACAACACTGACCGAAACTACAATATGCAATGTAAATAAACATGACGGCTGCTGAAATATCGCTAGGCATTGTGAGATTTGACAATGTCATTGTAAATTTATGTGCAAAATAAAAAATACTTTTATTACAACAAAAACAAGACCAAGGTCTGCAATATCGTATAACATGCACATCGGTTGAAATCACCAATGCCGGCAATGGAAACAATTTTAACGCTCATGCAATTTATCAAAAATATCGTCTGTTACACTGCACTGATCAACATGGTTTCATTACAAATGTCTGAAATACACATATTTTATACCCTAAAATCTCAACAGGAATGCTTGACATTATCAAGGTTCCTTTTCTGTCAATAAAAATGGCATGTGAATTTCTTTGTTTAATTCACTGTAATTGTCTGTTCCGAGAGGAGTATTTAGCAATAACAAATATTGGATATAAAAGGATTAGTTTTTCAGCTTTACGATATATTTTAACATTCTTCTTTCCATTGCAGAGGAATGGTTTTAAAGAAATGCATCGACTCATCATTTCGACACTAGGCAGATTCTGGGAGCCATAATCCGGACTTTTGACATCCATTTCCGGCTCTTTTTTTAAATTAATTAGCATTCATTTAATCTTTTAGAAGTCTATGTTAGAATTGTTTCAATTATTTTTATTTATGGATTTAATTGCTTCAAGCATGAGTGATTGTGACTCTGTGACATTGTTCACATTTCTCACACATGGTTGACTATGGTTAGTAGGAGTGATAATGCTATGTCACGTGTCAGTGGCCAGTAACCTTCCAGTGTATTTTATATACAAAGAAGTAATTTGCAGTCCAGAAAATTGTAAAATATTTGAGGCAAAGCGCCAATTTATCAAGATACAAACCTCTTGTATATTTTAAGTATATACATGTTTATTTAGCATAGCGCATGAATATGAAAGCAAGAATTATGTTGAAGTTTGCTGAGGCATAACGGCTTAAAGTCAAGATGGTTGTAGCTTTGTTAATTAAACCAAGCTAATCAAAGTCAAGTACTCAGGTAACATATTTCACCGGTGTTAATGATGTAAAATATAAATGGGTGAGCAACTATGGTGAATAATTATTTATTGTTTTGATATATACTGTGAAATCAGATATTTTTGTGGGGTATAAATTCCGTTGTTTCCTGAAAAAACACACCCATGTTTGAATACTTAGGTATATGAATTTGTGGATTAGAACTACCCACGCAAACGGAGGATTGCTTTATATTAAAGTCTCAATTTCTTCACGGACCTATGCATTCGTGGATAAAGATTACCAATGAAAAATAATAAAAAAGTAATTTCACAAGTGAGAATGGGTCACTTGATTCGTCGTCTGAAGTAGGAAGTAGTTTATATATTATGCACTTAAATATTAGGAGCATTAGGAATATTAAATTTCCTTGAACACTTTTGTAATGATGTAGATAATGTATGCCTTACAGAAACTCACTTGGATGAATGAGTAAAAGACACAGATATTGGCTTTGATAATTACCCAAATGTTATTAGGAAAGATAGAAATATGTTCGATAGTGGTGTTGCAGTTTACTCTTCTACTGACGCTAGTGTCAAGCGTAGATTAGACATTGATTAGCTCAATTAACTGGACTGAATTGTTTAAATTGACTAACGATCCAGATCATAAATGTAACATACTAACAAATACGATACTGTCTATTTTCGAAAAACATGTACCAACCAAATATGTAAAGGTAAGTCCAATTGACAAACTATGGATGACCCGTGAGCTAAGAATAGTAAAAAGGACTAGAAATCGACTTAAAAATAGATATTAGAAAGAAAACACAATTATCTCTCGCAAAATATTTATTAAAATCTAGAAATAAAGTAAGTAACATGATGAAATTTGCTGGAGAAATATTTATTGAAAACATCAATGCGTTAATTGACAGAAACTCTAACAATCCAAAGGTGCATTGGAAATTAATGCGAATATCACGGAAAGGGAACAAATCTACCGACATACCACCGCTGTACGATAGAAATACCAACCGTAGTATTACAGACGAGTTTGGTAAAAGTGAACTCCTAAAGACATTCTTCCAGTCCATTTCTAATTTAGACGACACTCACTTCCCACTACCTGTATTCGACAACAAAACCGATGTTCACATAAATAATGTTTTAGTCGCAAGATGTTCTTGATATTATCAATATACTCGATATAAACAAGGCATCAGGACCTGATGAATTAGTCATAGAATGTTAAAGTTAATTGCCAATGACATATCATCACCATTATCTAATATATTAAATGAATCACTAAGTAAATCAATATACCCAAATGCTTTGAAAACTGCACATGTTACACCTATCTTCTTAAAAGAAGAACGAGATTCGGTTGAAAATTACAGGCCTATATCTTTATTGAGCTGTATTTGAAAGTTATTTGAACGCATTACATACAAACACATTTATAATCATCCTATTAATTGTAATCTCTTAAAAAAACTACAATCTAGTTTCTCTCCTAATCACTCCGCTACTCACCAATTAATAGAATTGTACCATAATAATACTATTTGTTATGGACAACCGAGACATTACTGCTATTGTTTTTTTGTGATTTTTCGAAAGTTTTTGACCTTGTTTGGCATAGAGGATTATTATTTAAATTAGATAAGTATGGTATCGGAGGCTCGCTTTTGAAATGGGTAAGAGATTATTTATTGAACAGAAGACAGTGTGTTGTTCTTAAAAATGTTGTATCATCAGAAGTCTGAATTAAAGCTCGAGTTCCCCTGGGATTAGTCCTTGGGCAACCGCTCTTATTTCTAATATACATAAATGATATATATCTGAAACCCTACAATCAATTGCTATACCTTTTGCTGATGATACTGCCCTAGCGTACTCATCAAACGACCCGAACGAAATTGAACAGGTGATAAATAATGATTTAGAGCAACTTAATATTTTGTCACAGAAATGGCTTATGAAATTTAACCCCAACAAAACAGTGGCAATGGTTATAACAAATAGGAAATTCGACAACTTAACTATCAGTGATGACGCCAAATGGAACTGTCACATAGAGTATATGATTCATAATGCTACAGAATACTTGTAAACTCTTCGGAAACTCAAAGTTACACTCAGTAGGAAACTCATTGTCTATCTGGAATACATAAGGCCTCTATTGGAATATGCGTGTGAAGCTTGGGATATCTGTAGCCTATAAATAGACCTAGAATAGAAAAACTTCAATATGAAGTTGCATGAATTACTACTGGACTTCCAATATACAAACAAATCTCTGCCGTACAAATCTGCCGTACAAATCTCTGCCGTACAAAGAAGTTGACTGGGAATCACTTCACGATAGAAGAAATAATAGAAAACTAGTAATGTTTTATCACCAAAAGGAAATACCCCGGAATGTCTACAATCTGTATTGCCAACACAGGTTTCTGAACAATCAAATTATAATCTTAGAAACCGTAATCATTACCAATCTCACCGTGTAGGCTAAGTCTTATAAGGTCATCATTTATACCGAAAGTAACAAGTATATGGAATGTCTATCTGATGATGCTAAGCATATTGACTCCGAGAATCTTTTTAAGAAATAGATAAGAAAACAGAAATGTATTCCTAGTGAGAAAATATTTGATGAATTTGGTCCAAGGAAAGCCAACATTCGTCATATGGAGGATTCTAGTCATTGTCTACTGGAATGTCCCTTATATCAGGCCAAAAGAACAGAAATGATTCCAAGGAAAGCTAACATTCGTCATAGGGAGGATTCTAGTCATTGTCTACTGTAATGCCCCTTATATCAGGCCAAAAGAACAGAAATGTTTCCAAGGAAAGCTAACATTCGTCATAGGGAGGATTCTAGTCATTGTCTACTGTAATGTCCCTTATATCAGGCCAAAAGAACAGAAATGTTTCCAAGGAAAGCTAACATTCGTCATTTGGAGGATTCTAGTCACTATCTACTGGAATGTCCCTTATATCAGGCCAAAAGAACAGAAATGATTCCAAGGAAAGCTAACATTCGTCATAGGGAGGATTCTAGTCACTATCTACTGGAATGTCCATTATATCAGGCCAAAAGAACAGAAATGATTCCAAGGAAAGCTAACATTCGTCATAGGGAGGGTTCTAGTCATTGTCTACTGTAATGTCCCTTATATCAGGCCAAAAGAACAGAAATGATTCCAAGGAAAGCTAACATTCGTCATAGGGAGGATTCTAGTCACTATCTACTGGAATGTCCCTTATATCAGGCCAAAAGAACAGAAATGATTCCAAGGAAAGCTAACATTCGTCATAGGGAGAATTCAGGTCACTATCTACTGGAATGTCCCTTATATCAGGCCAAAAGAACAGAAATGATAAACAAACTAAACTGGTATCCAAATATATCTCTTACTTTTTGGTGACAAAAATGTTAACTTGCACTCAAATATACAAATATGTCAAGCGGTTCAATTATTTATTCTCGAAAATAAACGTTTTCTTTCGAAATAAACACTCACCATCTTCCCCCCCCCCCCCCCCCCCCCCCCCCTCTCTCTCTCCCTCTCTCTCCCTCTCTCTCTCTCTCTCTCTCTAATTTTTATAAAATTTGTCTATTATATTTACAGCTAGACTATTGCGTTATCATGCATTGATTTTGTAATTCAATCGGGAAAAGGCACAACTACGGTATGATAACTTGCGCCTAATTCTTTTGTTGTAATATTCAATTATATCACCTTAAACTAAAGTAGTGATTTCACAGTAAATACAATGTCCTTTGGTAACATTAAGTGCTGTTGTAAATAAGCTAAACAGGTAAAAAAATCATAAAAGCCCATTTGTTGTCCTGTCTTAATAAGATGACTAGCTCATTCATAACTCTATAGAAGAAATGGTATATCATCTAAAGTTGATTTGTATATATCAGTGTCTTAGCCTTTACTGTTTACAGTGTGATTACACATATATTACCGGGAAATTTTACTATTTTTGTTAAGGTTTTGCAAGGCCACCTCCAGTTACCAGTATGCTTCTCCACAGGTAGAACAAGAGAAATCAAGTTTTGCCAGGCCTAGGTCTATAACAATACATTCAGTTTAGTCACAAAAAAAGTTAAAATGCAGGTGGCCTTTTTTATTCTTGACTACGTTCGTGTCGCAATACACCAAGTTCTAATGCGATATATCCAGGTTGCAAATCTGAAATCTGAATAAGATTTTTTTTTATTTGAGTGTTAAAGTTAATCTATCAAGGCATACACATTAATGATGACTATGTCATTTTTTAAGGGGTTTGTTGAACCTTAAATATTTATATCATACGTTGTTTACAGCGATCTACCATGAGTAGTTCCGATGTAAACAAAGAACAATACACACAAGATCGCGCCAAAGTTGGAAATCAATTATCAACCAGCAGGTTTGTTTTTCAAACAATAATATGAAATAAGCTTGCTTCAATAGTCTGCCGCTTAAATGCCATTATTTGAATATATCCTAAGAGCGTGTTTTTATGAATGAATATATGATGTCATGCCCCGTAATAACACTCAAAACTTTTTTACAAGTTGTACAAAAGCTAATAAATATTTGATGTTTTTTTTGTCTCCTCAACGTGCAAGATCATGTGATGACGCTGCAAAAACTTTTATATATCCTTTGATAATAATGATCGTTTTTTATTTTACATAACGTATGAGTTTGAATTTATATAAGAATAATATCAGGCGTGGTTAGACTGAAGTTTTATCAGAACGGTTATATTGTAAATCTGATGTTAAAATAGTAATGAACGATTTTGCTTCAACATAAGTACATGCTTGATAGAGTGGTCTAGCTGTGGGCCGTTCTCATGCATAATTTCATTATACCTGTCAGTGAAGCACGACCTGGCATCTAGGTCAGCATAGATCAAACATAAGCTCAGACCTGTCTGAGTTATATAGGAAATATTCTTACCGGCTGTCATTCCTGGGACAATGTTGATGATGTACCAAGGGGATATTCGTTAATCAAATCTCAATTTATACAATGACTGGAGTAAAAGAATGCTCAGCTGAATCTGTTTAGTGGTCATTATCGTAACACACAGTGTTTTCTAGCTGTTCATGAGCTACTGAAATTATAAAAATAAATGAATGAAGTATTATAAAGCTCAATATACAGAGAGACTGATGTTAAAAAAGATACCCCAATGAGCCACCGCCTCAGTCCCCTACAGGTTCGGGGAAAGGCCTGCTGTGTCCCACTTAATGTTATCGTAAGAGGCGACTAATGTGAGGCTCTATGGGGTGCCACTGTGTAAATCATCGATGATTCGCTCACCCAATGAGGCTCTATGGGGTGCCATTGTGGAAACCATCATGATTCGCTCATCCAATGAGGCTATATGGGGTGCCATTGTGGAAACCATCATGATTCGCTCACCCAATGAGGCTCTATTGGGTGCCATTGTGGAAATCATCGAGTATTCGCTCACCCAATGAGGCTCTATTGGGTGCCATTGTGGAAATCATCGATGATTCGCTCACCCAATGAGGCTTTATGGGGTACCATTGTGGAAATCATCGATGATTCGCTCACCCAATGAGGCTCTATGGGGTGCCATTGTGGAAACCATCAATTGTTCCTACACCCAATGCCTAATTTGCGATCTGTAATTTTTCTCTTTTCCCTACTTTTCATATGACCTTGGCTGTGCCGTTAAAACAAATAAACAAACAAACAATTGCCACAATACCGTGTAGGCGTCATACTATATATAAACATTTTATATACACTTAATGAGGACGTTTTGTGATACCTAAACTGACAAACAACTAGTTGATGAGCCATGTTAGATACACAACAGTCATACGTAATGATAATACATTCAGAACATTAATGCAAAGAAAAGACATTTTATGTCAAATAATACATATATACTTTAATAAGCCTGAACTCGGTTCACAAATTACGCCATACAACTGCAGCCATCAGTAAAATACTTGTTTTGCTGTAAGCCGGATTTCTCCACCTTCTTGATATTTTGCTCTGAGCAGCTGGCGAGACTTGTTTTACTGTTTTCAAGCAATGTATAGATAACAATAATATCAATAGGTCAATGAACTGCAGACACGAAGTATGATTAGCATATCATCTCCATATCTTCCTATTAACAGATTGTTTAATACACATTGTTTGATCAATACTTGCTTGGGTTATGTTTACGTTTAACTATTGAAGAGGGATAACTCAATTATATAATAGAATATA